GATTGTTTTCATACTTATATACACATTTAGCATATTTGGATATGGTGTTGACTTTGTAAATGGAATGTCTGTGGTTCAAGACCCATATCTTTCTAAACTTTTTTGTTTTTTTACACAAGCATACAACCGAATGTTAATAAAATGAAACAGTAATATCAGAAAAAATTGATTGCAAAATTTGTGTATAACATTGTGTATAACAGATACAGTAAAAGTATAAAATTTGTTGAATAAGAAACAAGCAAGAATGAGTTTTGATTTATTGTAATAGAGATTATAGCTTGTTTGAGCATTGATATTATTGTATTTGTAGAAAAAAGAAATGCAACCTTAGAATAATGGAAGAGTGGCTCAAGCTTGGGAGATAAAGCAGGTCTAATTACAATTACAATTTGCGTTTAGACTTTGACTGAAGGTTACTATATATAACAATATAGGAATGCCAACAATATTGCAATATTTTTTTGCACTAAATAAATCAGTTTTGTTGTCTAATAAAAGTTGTGGATTTTAAATCCAGACTTAAAATCCACAAGCCACTGCAAACCTTAGGCTGTTACAGAAAAAAATGAAGACTTTTTGTCAAGAGAAGAGTATTAAGTTGAGTCGTCAGGAAATAGAGCTACTTTATTTTAATTAATTTAATTAATTCTAAAAGTTTCCTAGATATTTCCATACATATTATGGATATAAACATATCTGATTACTATTTATTTAGATGCAGGCATACAATATCCTTTTATTGTTATATAAACTTTAGAATTTATGAAATAGTATTTGTAAAAAGTAAAAAAAAAATCAGATGAATGTGTGGTGTGACTAAACAGATGGAGGTGTGGTGTGACATAAAAAAGAAGGCATAATCTTAGACAGATTCAACAAAACATTGTATTGAACAATGTTAAACAAAGATAAAGTAATTTAAGCATCAGCATATAGGGATGTAGCAGCTTCAGTAGAAATTGGTAGTGGTAGTAGGAAAACTTAAAGAGAGTGCCTTACATATTGTATGAATGAGCTTTAGTTAAGGAAAAAAAATGCAGGAATGCATTCAAACAATGGGTAGTTGATGGAAAATCTAAACATGTAATTATCTTTGAAAGAATGAAAAAAACTTGAAAAGTATTTAAACTTTCTTTTGGGCACTGTAAAAATCATACTGAGCAAATTAAAGCTGACAGAGGTTACAGAGAATATCAATAATGTAAAAGCAACCAATCATGTTGCTAGTATTGGCAGAGTTACTGGTGACAAGGACATTGCCACTATATGGAAGAAACATTTTCAAGCAATATATAATTCACTTAATGATAACCAGCATAGAATACAGGTTGAACAGAAAGTGCATTCTTCATTACTGGACATACCTGTTAGAGTTACTATTATAGATGTAACTAATCCTTTGAATAAGCACAAAAAGAGAAAATCTGCTGGACCAGATGATTCGTTTATGGAATCATTTATATATGGAGGACATAGACTGTCTCTTTATCTAGGTATTTTTTCTAATTAATTCCGAGTAATTGCTATCTCTCCCGCTTGCTCTAAAACATTTGAAGGTATTTGATTAGAAAGAATCATATATCATAAGAATGCTGATAATTTTCAGTTTGGTTTCAAGAAAAGTCATTCCACAATGTCTGGTACATATTATTTAAAAAAGACAGTTAAATACTTTATTTCTAGAGGAAGCCATGTATATGCATGCTTTATTGTTTTTATACCATTAATTATTGGAAACTGTTTTTTAAATTAATTGATCAGGGTATTGCCATAAATATTGCCTATCTACTTGCATTTTGGTACAAGAATCAAACTATGTTTGTCAGATGGCAGAAAGTAAACTCTGACAGCTTTATCACAAGCAATTGTGTACAGCAAGGTGGAAATCTTTCACTGTTTTTGTTCAAATTTTATATAAGAACACTGATTTTCAATATTACGAATATGCATATTGGATGTTACATTGGTAAAATTTGAATTTTTTGGCATATGCCGACAATATTGTATTGAGTGCTCCATCTTTGTTTGCATTGCAAAATTATTAACTGCATTGAATGTTGAAGCCGCTGCCATTAACATGCCATTTAATACAACAACAAAAAAACGGTATGCATGGTATTTAAACCAAAACAGAGATGTAAGAATGTGTCAAGCAACTTTGCACTGTTTACCTTAGCTGGATGTGAATTAGTTTCATTGACAAATTCAAGTATCTGGGTCACATAATAGAAAATGGTTTGTTTGATAATGCTGATATAAATCGAGAGATGAAATGTCTTTATACGGGTACAAACATTAATTAGAATATTCAAGAAATGCTTGATTAAGGTAAAAGTGCAACAATATATGACCTACTGCCTCTGTTTTTGTGGCTCTATCGACTAATTTTAGTGCAAATACTATGTTAAAGCCAGACTCTTGTTACAAGAAATGAGCTAAAATGTTTTATGGATATGACAAGTACTCAAGTGCTAAAAGCATTGAAAATGAATTATTATATAATCATTATTTTGTTACTTTCACAACTACTATTATCATATTTCCATTATTAATATACAGGATAAATATTTACTGAAATAAATTTTGCACTCAACTCAGTTGCAAACTTTTAGTCATAATATATTTGTTAGACCGATAGCTTTTTAACTATTTTTTCATTATTTTATCTTCACATCTTCTATAATTAAAAACACGTACTAGCAGCTTAGAAAAACCCACTGATGAGCTCCCAAAAATGTAATCAATCTTATCAATTTTAAATATTATGTTAAATAAAGTTCAACCAAAAGCAGACTTACTTTTTAATTGAAAATTTTATTAACTTTTATGTCTTTATAACTTAATTTTATTAAGTTATAAAGACATAAATTTTATTAAGTTATAAAGACATAGAAGGTCACACACACAGATAAAAATGTTACAAAGAAAAAATAATTAAAGAATTATTTAAAAAATTATTTAATCAAAAAAAACAACTGGTTTATATCTTTTATATTCATTAGCTCTACACCAGCTAAAGGGTTTAAAAAAGTATAAACCTACATAAAGTTTAAATTATAATGTGATAAATATATATAGTATAAATACATATATGGTAATTCTGTACAAAAAATAAGAAACTGGTTTTATTAATCAAACACTGAAAAGATCAATAGTGAAAAAAGAAGGAATTGCAGAGTTTTGTAGAAAACAAACAGCAATATTAACAAATGACAAAGAAGAATGTTATTGGCAGTTTAAGTTTAAGGTAATGAGATCTTAAAGCAGAAGATTTTACTTTAAGACAAAGAAAAAGAAGAAAAATAAGATAAATAAAAATACAAGGCATAAAAATACAAGGCATAAAAAATACAGCTGTGGCTATGTCATAATGATATTAGGGATATAGGTTTTATTATACAGAATGAGGTGCTACTTTTGTAATTACAAATATTTCAATAGATTGACACAAAGAAATTCAAGTTAATTTATACAAAAATATTTAAGTTAATAAATGTGATAAATGACTTTTGTAATTACAAATATTTCAATAGATTGACGCAAAGAAATTCAAGTTAATTTACACAAAAACATTCAAGTTAATAAATGCGATAATAGTGATAACTCGAAAAGAGCTTTAATTATGATTGTGAATTTGATAATTGTCTAAAAATTGTTTACTTTAATTTTTTAGACAAAACTGGTTATTTTTTTGAAAAATATATAAATTAAAAAAATAATTTGAAAATTTATTTACATCAAAAGTAATTAAAAATGTAAATTAAAATAAATTTTACTGTTTAGGCTAACTTTTTTCAGCATAGTTATGAAATGATAAATCTGTATAAACAAAGCTTTTTATTTTTATTAAAAAAAAAATTAAATAAACCATTTATTCATACTTTACTTTAAGGTTCATACTCGGCCATTTACAAATTATTCAAACACTTTTATTTGGAATTAGCATGATTATATCAGCGTATTATGTCCAAACAAAAGATTTAGATGGTATAATTTTTTTTTTGCTTCAGGGTTTTTTAATATTTAATGAAACATTTCTTTTTTATATATAATTATCAAAACATTTTTAATACCCGTAATAGTGAATCTAAAGAACACTTTGGGGTCTTTAGATTAATTTCGCTCATCAGCATTAACATGAATTTAGTTCAAATTTTTAAAAAAAGTTCCTTAATTTACTACTGATCCTAGTTCTAATTAGTTCAGACATATATTAACTATATATAGTTGTCAAAACACAACATTTTTATCAATTTTTACAAAAAATACTAGAATTCCAACCAAAAAATAGCTTATATTTATGGAAAATTGCCAATAAACCAACAGAACAGATCATTTTGTTAAACTATAATGTTCATTTCACCTAAAAACGTATTAATTTAAAATCTTATTAAAATTTGAATGAGCGATTGTGATTTTAAGATAATTAAAAAAAAAAAAAAACTTTGGTCTGGGTTTTTTCCCTACAAACATTTATATTTTAAGGTACCGCAAAAATTTATCATTTTAATTTTTTTCGTTTTTTCATAACTCACAGATCTGAATATTAAACGAAAATATTTCATAGTCAACAAATTATCATACAGATGCTATAATATTTTAAAAAAGGCTTAACTACATAGAGTACTTCAATGGATATATTTTATGAAAGAATATACATACATAAAGATTCGTGTCAAGCAACTTGTGCAGAAAAAAAAAACATTGACATATTTATCAAAATTTCCCTAAAACAGTTGCTAAATATTGTTAAACACACCTAATAAAAAAAAAAGTAAATCATGTAGAGAATGAAAGATATAAAATAGCAACTAATCAAAAAAAAAAAAAAAAAAGCTTAAAAGAAAATAATATAAAAAATATTTTTATGATAAAAATATTTTAATAATTATATGTTTTCTCTTTAAAAAAAATGACATTAAACAAAATTTGTACATTTGTACATATGTATATTTATCAAAAATGCACCAAAGTTTAATAACAAACAACTTACTTACCCAAAATAGAAACCGAAAGTGAAGACTCCTCTTTTGATTTTTTAGAAGGATTCAGGTTAACAAGAAACTTTAACAAAATATTTTGGTTTTTATTGCTTAATCCACAAATCATTGATAAACAACTCTTCAGCTTCTCATTGGCCATAATCTCTTCAAAGCTTAAACAATTGTATGCATATACAGATGCACAAAACTCCATTACAGTCAAATGTGCAAATTGGTAAAAATAACCTAGATGTGTTTCAACCCTTTCAATAAAACCAAAAAGACTTTCATCAACTTCATTAAAGTTATTGATAAATAGTAAAACTTCTTCTTTTGAAAAAATAAATTTATTTTCAATAAACAATTCAAAAGCTATCCTACAAATGGTTAATACATATTTTTTATTATTTTCATTTGCCATCATTTCATAAACCAATCCATTGTTTTTTATAATGTGTTGTTGCAAAAAGTATAAAAAAATATTTGCATACAATTCTGTCATCGTTAAGAAAGAAGTTGTATATATTTTGCTTGAATCACTAATAATTTTACACATGGAAGATAAATAAAACGGAACAGTTGCCATAACTTTTGCAAGTGGAGACTCCTTTAAAGTTGCTTTAACAACTTCTTTTTTTTCTTCTATAACATGATTTTCTACATAATTTTCAACTCCATCTTGGTTAAACCCCATTATTTGAATAGTTAACTTATCCCCATACTCTCTATATATTTTTTGGCATTTATCAATTGCATAAACTCTACCAGCAACTACATGTTTATAACTTTGAATTTCTGCTAAAACATTAACAATCGGAAAGATACAACTTAAATTTGGGTTTAATAATTCATTTAAATATTTAAATTCATCTAATCCATCAATTATAAACAAAGCAGTATGCTTACTAATATCAAAATCATTTAAAATATCTTTGTAGAAAACATTTAGTAATTCATTAATACTCGAAACATTTTGATATTGATTAAGCCTCCTGCATTCCAAATAAAACACAAGTTCAACATTATTCCAAATCAAATTATTCGACCAATCGAGCAAACACTTTCTGAGCAACCATGTTTTTCCAATACCAGCTATTCCAGATATTAATATTACTGATTTTTCGTTCATAAATATTTTACTATATGGAATTGGTGTATAACTCATTTGCTTTTCAAGAAATTTCTTTCGTTCAACGCTACAAACAACATCCATTTGAGCATTATGCGCATCAACAATACATAGATCAACAAACTTTTGTATTAGATCAACATTAGCAGGTGCATTTAATAGTGGTTGAAGTTCATTTATTTTGCCATAATATTTCAGATAATAATTTTTTAGTGCTGTGCATACCTCTGATATACCTAAACATCAATTATCATCATCATCTGCTAGTAACTTTTGTTTTATTTATTATTATTATATAATTAGTGTAAAGTTAAATTTCTAGAAAACTTTTTATTTAAGATAAATTAAAGTTATAACTTCGAACTACTCTTACTACCTTTATTGACATGAACTCTGCTAGCAACATCTAGTGGATTTGAAGAATCTAAATGATAGTTATGCAAAAACTTTACTTTTTACAATTTTTATCCTACAAAACTAACACAACAAAAAGATAAAAAATAATTTTTACTAGTAACACATTATAAAACCAGTTTTTACGGTGTTCTTGTTATTGTCATTTTGTACTACTATATTGTTTTTATCAAGTTAACAATAAAAATCTTTGTTAGGGTTATGATTTGTCTTTATGGTATGTCTTTTGTTGTAGGAATTTTGTACTATCAACTATTTTAAATTATTATTGAATATTTAACTATTTTAAATGTCTTGAAGTGTAACACTCACAAATAATAAAATGTTATAACACTGCATCTATGCCACTTTGAAAAAAAAAAACTTGAACTGTTTAAAAAATAGTTTGGGGTAATTGTGCTTTCATTATTGGAACCCCATCCTCTCCAGCCTGTTACCAAGCTGTTAGATATTTCTTAATATCACAATAATGCCCATTTTACAGGTTGCTAAGTGCATATTAATTGTTTATTGACTACACATTGTCCAAAGAGAAACTAAAATGTTTTTTGTTGTAATGTGACTACCAACTACTGAAGTCTTATTTTATTTTCAGTTGGAAAAATTGATTTTGGTATGGGGTAGAATTGAGCTTAAGCTTAACTCAGCACTTTCAATATTATCTAATGCTTTTTTCAATGTCTCCTCAGTATAAGGCTTCTCTTTTAGAGACTTAAATATTCAAAAAATAAATATTTTTGAAATTGAAATTGAAAATTGTACTTTTGCACTTCAAGAGTATAAGTGTATATGTACAAAATTAATCATGAAAGTATGAAAACTTATTTAATCCAAATGAAAATAATTCATTCAGCTTGAAAAAATAATAAAATAAGTTAAATAAATTTAAAAAAGTAGAAAAATAACAAACATATTAAGCTATTAAGTTTTAATCGATTATAGGAAGTATAGTGTCCTGTTTAAGATAAAAACTAAAAAAAAAAAAATTTTTCTGCTAAAACTTTTTAATGGATTAATAGTTTAATTTGAAGTAATTTTTTGAAAATCTAAAACTATTTTTGGAATTAGCAGAAAAGCTCCAACAAAATTGCCTTTAAATTAATCTTTCATGCTAAGAACCTAACTTTTAAAAAAGCCTTAATTTAATTTTAAGGGTCATAATTTGTTTGAACTTAAATTTCTTATTAAACCAATTATTTTAAAAAAAAAATTTATATTTTATATTTTCCACACACTGAAAGTTAAATATTTTTTTTTTAATATGCAAATATCTAATCTTTTAGTGAAGATATTTAGTTTTGCCAAAACTACAGATAAAAAGTCACTGTTAACAAAAACCAATTAAATCTCTAAATAGATGAACTAGAAATTTTAACATAAGAATAAAATTACTTAAAAAAAAAAAAAAAAAATTTATTTTCAAGTTTTATTTAATTTAGACTGTATTGTATTTTTGCCCATTGCTTATGTTGGAGTGTATTTCTGCGCATTGTTTATAATGTCATAAATTCTATTTATACTGTCATGTATAAATATTTAAACTTTTGTGCATTGCATATATTGCATGTATATCTGTATGTATATGTATATTTGAAAACCTTATTACAATATTTTTTAACATATTATTTATCTGCTCATTTTCATATTACTACTATTATCAAGGAATTTTTATGTTATATTATGTGTATATATTATATGTTGCTTCTTCTATAAGTTATAACAATATAATTATAATTAATTACATTATAATAATTAGGAGTCATTATATTTATATGTAATTATATTTAATCGTAATGTTACTTAACTGTAATTATATTTATAAGTAATTATATTTAGTACTAATTATATTTATTTGTAATTATATTAGTATTAATTAAATTTAGTAGTAATTATATATAGTAGCAGTTCTATTTAGTCGTAGTTTATTTGATAGTAATTGTATTTAGTACTAATGATATTTAGTCATAATTCTATTTAGTAGTATTCTTGATAATATATATATATATATATATATATATATATATATATATATATATATATATATATATATATATATATATATATATATATATATATATATATATATATATATATATATTCAAGACTAATCACCCAACTTAACCCCTTGATTATTGTATTATTTCTGACCCTGGATATCACTCGGTTTTTTTTATTTTTCTTTAGGTGGTATACTCCATGAAATACTTTAATTCTATTCACTCTACTATTACTCTCTTTTCTACTACTTTAGCTGAATGAGATCTATTTTGTTAATTTATGAAAAGATGGTCAGGAATTAAGGAAAAGGTCTTCTATACAGGTAAAAGTTGAATCATTTTTATCTATATCTTAAAATTAGATATGCATAAAAAAATTTATTGTTGTTTGTAAATATTTTATAGATATTGCATATATTTCTATTTATTGTTTATATTGTCATATATATCTGTATATCTGTAGATTGCTTATACTGGTATATATTTCTGTCTATTGATTATATTGTCATGTATATCTGTAGATTGCTTATAATGGTATATATTTCTGTCTATTGTTTATATTGTTATGTATTTTTTTTTCTTTTGTGGTGCTGTTACAGGGCGGCCACTCAAATTTGAAAATGAAATTTTATTACTTTTTGATTGACATACTTTTTTCATTGACATTTTCTAAAGTTCTACAATAAACCACTAGAGTAAAATATTCAGTACTTGCCATGCAATTAGCTATTGCCACTTGGTCACTAAAAAACATGCAGTCCAAAAAGTAATAGCTAGAAACTTCTGAAATCATTTCTAAAAAAACTCTGATGCATGGTTAGCCTTAACTCATGTTAGGTTTTTTGAACTGTGTCCAAATTAATTTCAACGTTTTCTGAGAAAGTATAGTTTACTTACACCAAATCAGAAAACTCCTATTAAGTAATTATGGGGTTTTAAAGATTTTTTCGTGCCTTTTTTGTCTTTTACGGCCATCTTTAATCCGCCATTGACACTAGTATAAACATATAGATGTTTGGAGTGTACTCTATGTTTATAATTTGGTATCTAAAACACCAAAAAACACTTGATCCCTACTGAGTTGAAATATTTTTTCTTTTGCAAAGTGATTATTTAAAAAAGCGTATAAATCCTTAAAAGGAACGCTTTTTATTTTGTTTTTAATGGAATATAGTTCATGCTCACCCAAAGTATTGATATCTTTTGAAACATCTTGAGTACCTTTTAGGTCAACCTAAAACCTCTATTTCAAAGCAGTGCCAAGGCCATGATGGCCGCTGCAGACGAGGGTGCTACTTTTAACCCACTTTCAACTCTATAACTCCGAAATATGAGCTTTGACAAACAAGGCCGCTGCGAGGAGAAACAAATTAATAAACCTAACTCACATACTTTAAAACAAAAATTTTATTATTTTTCATTTATCTCTGATGAGAATAATGCTTTTATATAAAACCTTTCATAAAAAGTATAAT